TGCCAGTCAGGTCTATGAGAAACAGGTGCTTGTCATATGCAAGGTCCTTTATTCTGTGAAGCAGCATAGATACAGTGTTGAACCAGGGTGGTTGTTGTTTTTGATAAAGATACTGTTGTGCTGTCTGAAGACGAAGCGCTGTGATACGGCTGTGAAGGTCAATCAAACTCTGACCCCCCTCTGACACAGGTAGAGACAGCACAGCAGACCTGGTCCAGTGAAGCCCTCCCCAGAAGAAATTTACCAGTCTTTTTTGTATCTCCTTGATAAGAGAGGCCGGAGGTTCAAAACAGTGACACGGTGCCAGAGTACAGAAGCAGCCAAGTTGTTAACAACCAAAGTCCTCCCCCTGTAGGACAATGGTGGCCAGACCCAAGTCCATCGAGACAACGGTGGCCAGACCCAAGTCCATCGAGACAACCGGGCAGTAATGTTTTCAACAACACCCTCCCAGTTCTTCCCCTGAAAAGCATCAGTTCCCAAAAACACTCCCAAACACTTCAGTCCCTCCCTGTTCCACTGTAACTCTGCCGGTAACACCGGCTCCTCTTTATCAACCCACCCTCCCAACATGAAACCTTCACACTTTGACCAGTTAACCTTTGCGGATGCCTGCTCATATAAGTCCAGTGTCAGTCTGAGTGTTTTAATATGGTTATAAAAACCGTAACATCATCAGCATAAGCGGACAATTTTACTGTGCTTCCTGCTTCGTCAAAGGTAAAACCTGAGAGTCCCTGTCTAAGATGGTGTAAAAGGGGTTCAATGGCCAGCGTATACAACATACCAGAAAGAGGGCATCCCTGCCCTATGCCCCTCTGAGCTGGAACAGGCCGACTTAACCCTCCCCCCACCTTTAACATGACAGCAGTGTTTGAGTACAACAATTTGATCCAAGAAATGAAAATGTTCCCAAACCCAAAAGCTTCCAAAGTTTTAAACAAATAGCGGTGATCAACTCTATCAGAAGCTTTTTCTTGATCCAGAGATAAAACCCCCCACATCCAAGTCTCTGAGCCAGATCAATAATGTCCTAATTAAAAACAAGTTGTCCATAATAGTTCTTTCAGGGACACAGTATGCTTGATCCACATCAACAATCATGTCGATACAGGTCTTCAACCTGTTAGAAAGACATTTTGCAAGAATCTTGTAGTCCGTACAAAGCAAAGAGACAGGCCTCCAATGTTTGAGCGAGCCCAGGTCCCCTTTCTTTGGCAGTAAAGTCAAAACTGCCCTCGTGCAACTCGTTGGCAAGATCCCAGTGGTCACACAGAATGTGAAAACCTCATGAATGTCCTCTCCTAGCAGCGACCAGAATTCCTGGTAAAATTCCGCAGGAAGCCCATCAACTCCTGATGACCGACCACTGTTGAGTTGTTGAACCGCTGAAGACATCTCCTCAAAAGAGATAGCAGACTCCAACACAGCCGATTCAGCCTCATACAGCCGTGGCAGCCCCTCCAGCATCCTCGTCACACATTCAGGGTCACACGTGTCAGAACTAAAGAGGCTGGCATAAAAGTCAATGGCGAGCTTCCTCATTTCTACTGCGTCAGATGTCACCTTCCCATTTGGAAGCCTTAAGTGCATCACGTGGTGTGACTCGCAAACCCTTTTCTCCAGCTTGAAGAAAAATCTGGTTGGGGCATCTATTCAACAGTAGAAATCCGAGTTCTTATAAGAGCACCTTTTGCTCTTTTGTGGAGAAACTTGCCTAAAGCCTTCCTCCTACCGTCCCAGGTACTATTTGCATTATCTGTCCCACTTATGATCTTATCCTCTAGCATCTTGAGCTCTCGTTCTAAGTCCTCAAAGCAGTCTTTAACAGTGGCCGTTGGATGTGACGTGTATTGTTGACAAAAAAGCTTAATCTGCGTTTTCCCCACCTCCTACCATTCAGCCAAATTGCAAAAGTCATTTTTCCTTTGTTTCCAGTGACACCAGAAGTCAGAAAAAAGCTCGACAGAACTCTTTGTCATGAATCAGCTGCATGTTAAAGCATGTTGGTGAACAAATGTTAGAGTGCATCAATAAGGAAATATCTACAGTCACTAAATGATGATCAGAAAAACCAACAGGTGAAATTTCTGCCTTAACTAGTCTATTATTATACGTCTGATTGATAGCTATTAAACCCGATTCTTTGATCCCCATGGTAGAAGAGAGAAAACCCGACTCAGAGTGGTCAAAACATTTATAATTCTTTATTCAATCATCTGCTGGAAGAGAGAGCCCCGCACAGCCCAAAGCCAGTTGCAGAATCTCTAACATTAGAAGCCAAAAATGTGTCTCATATAGGTGTTATTTTGGTCCTTTACACGTCACACACAGCCTCGATACAAACAACCCCTTCTGTGTTACTAGTTCCACTTTTTCTGTCTGGTTTCCTGTATTTTATTAATATGCCTCTGCAGCTCTGCACTAAACTTCCTGTTTTTCAGTTTGGCTGAGCACTTGGCTTATGAGTCAAAACTGGCTTTGCTTTACAAGCCTTTATTATTAAAATACATAACACAATATAATCAGAAAATAGGCACTAACAATATATATTTATCTTGTAACACTGCCTTCACATTGCCCTCAGAAACGTTCACATATGTGTATTCTCTAGTTGTGGGATGGAGCTTTCTCCACACATCAGTCAGAAAGATTGTGGATAAAAGTGAGCCCGAAGGTGGGTGAGGCTCTCCTGTGTTTCTGTCAACTGAAGGGTGGGTTGTGCAATTCCAGTCCCCTCCCACCACCACTATTGAACCACTATGTATTGGTGATAATTTATAATTAATTTTACGAAATAACCTCACACGACCTGCAGCTGAGTTGTGGGCGCATACATTCATAAAGCAAAAGGTGTTCCCTTGATGGTTGCTTGTACTACCTGTGCCCTTCCCTGCTCTACCTCACACACGGAGACATGTGACAGCTGAAGGTGCCTAGAAAATAAAATTGCTACACCTGCACTGAGGTTAGTGCCATAACTTAAAAATACCTGCCCACTCCAACTCATTCCCCATTCTGTCTCATTATCTACAGTACTACTAAAAAAAACACATCAATGTTTTTGTTCCTGCTGTTCCACCAAAACTGCTCGCCTTTCTCTGACTCTACCCCCATTACTGTTAAGCGTACCCACTCTCAAGCCTGCCATAAAGACAGAGAGAAGAGGAAGAAGAGAAAGAGGGAAAAGACAGTGAGACCCTTCCAAAAAAAAAAAAAGACACCCTTAATACTCCGAACATTTTACTGTGGTTTTGAATGAGTTTTTCCTTGTTTTTCCCTCCTCAACACAGTCAGGATCTTTTTCAGGCGGCATCTTTTCTGTTTGCTCAACTGTTCATAGCCAACAACTCTCCTTATCTTTAGAACAGAGTTTATAAATTGATCGACATCTGGAAAAAACTCTGACTTCCACAGACTGCCTGCTAAATGTCTTATCCAAAAAGCGATTTATATCTTCTAAGGAATATGACTGCTGATGTTCATCTTGTGAAACAATGTCAGAGCATCGTGACAGGGAATCATCTTCAAACAAGTCTTCTTCCTCATTTTCCGCGCTCAAAGAACCTGAAATTACATTTTCATTTCCTACCTCACTTGTCGTTGCCTCTGTCCTGATTTTCCTCCACAGTTTTCCTGTCCTGTCTGTCATCACTTCCATCCGGCCTGTGGAGCACTGGCTGCGATCTCCATTCTGTCACCCAGCGCCGCTAGCAGCTCGTAGCTGGCTGTTCGTCCACACCGCTACTAGCGGGCTGTTCTCTCGTACCGACATCTACGGCACGCTCACTTGCTTCACTAGCATGGCCCTGCTGTTTACCTGTGTCATTGCGCACTTCGTGCTCTTTATGAGGGCAGGATGAGCGTTTATGGCCAACATGCACTTCATGCTAACTGCGCTTGCATAAACAGTATACAAGCCGTTTTCGTATCTCACTTTAAATGACACTTCCAGTGTCTGTGAAGGATCGTTCAAGTACATGAAGGCCTGCCTTCATAGTGACTGAATGTGCTGCAGTCTGGCATCTTTGCAGCCAAGACGAACAACACTGAACCCGCTAGCAAACTTTCCAAAGCAGGTCAGTTCCTTTTCAAGTAGCTCATTGGGGATAAACGCCATCTACGCGGGTCACCGCAAACAGTGGTGAAACAGCCACAACAAATCATCCAAAATGATCCCCCTTTCAACTAACAGGTGAACCAACCGCTCCTCACGGAGAAAGGTAACCACAGCCTTGTTCATCCGAGAGCCGCAAGTTGTGTTCTCATGGCCCACCTGTTCACCAAAAGCTAGCAGAGCCTGCTCCACGGTGTACTGTTGGGGGGGCGAACCCTCACTAGGGAGGGACGCCATTGCTCAAGGTAAAACTGGCGAATTAACGAAAACTCTTCACTTCACGCAACACAATGAAATAAACTTGCCTTACCTTTTAACCACCCATAAAGTTTTCTGGAAAAAACAGTCCAAACGTCCCAAACTCACTCAGCAGCTCCACACACTCACCAAACACCTTCACACACCCATTCACTCACACTCCCAGCATGCAGTGCAGGAAGGAGAGGAGAGAAGAGTGGAGTCAGGGGTTACATAGATGAGAATGAAAGCAGTTCATGTTGTGACCACTAGATGGAGACAAAACACCGCACAAACACAAACTTTATAACTACTGATACTGCAGTACTCTCTGCAGTACTGTGTGTATTTCCTGTGTAAGAAACAGTGATACTCTTGCAGTAAAGTAATGAAAACACAGTTTTCTTTCTGTAGTGTTATGTGTAGTACTGCATGTAATACTGTGTGGTACTCTTAAAGGGTACTGTCTTTAGTACTGTGTTTATTAAAAGACAGTGTACTTTATGTAGTATTGTGTGTAGTACTGTATGTATTATAAGACAGTGTACTTTTGTAGTAGTTTGTGTAGTACTGTCTGCAGTACTGTATGTAGTACACTGTGTAGTACTTTCTGCAGTGCTGCGTGCAGTGTTGCGTGTACTCTTACAGGCAGTGGACGACGGTGCGTCCCTCGCCGCCGTCATACTCCTCCTGCCATTTGTCCACCTGGTGCACGAGCTTGAGGAAGGAGCGCTTGGAGACGGGCGTGTCGCGGTACATCGGCCAGCCCAGGAACTGGAACTGCTGCACCATGCGGTACCCGTCCTGCGGCTGGAGACACAGGGAGAACCAGGCAGTCAAAACAAGCTCGCCCCAAACAACCAATGTATAATCAAACACTTCCCCAGAAGAACAGAAACATGAACCAAGTGTACCTCTAAACTAAACACTAAGGAGAAAGGAAGTAAGGAAACTGTGAAGGGAGAAAGGGAAAGGAAGTCAAAAGAAATACATTTTAGGAGTAAAGAAGAAAGGAAAGAACAGGAGAGAGGAAAGGAAGATATATAATGTAGATGGAAGGAAATGAGAGGAAAGGAAAGATATTAGGAAGCTTATTGAGACAGGAAAGAAAGCAAAGACAGGTTCCTGTGAGCAGACAGCAGGAGAGAGCTTTAACTCAAACACCAAAATCAAGCTGCCACAGCGAGGCGGGTGGAGACGGGAGCGCGGATCAAACACAGCCGATATTTGTTGAGACGCATGGAGGAAACGAGGCCCTGAATCACAGCCGCACTCAAACTCAGCCCGACGGGGAGGTGAGGAGGCTTAAATCAAACACATCCTGAGCTAAATCTGGTGCAGCAGGAGAGAGAGAGCGGAGGCTTGGATCAAACACAGGCGCAGCTCAGCTTTATTACACAGAAATCAAACGCGCCCTGAATATGTGAGGGCAAAACCAAACAGACCCTCCGTGTAGGGTGATGCAGTTTTACTCCGTCAGGATCTGAAGACAAAGGTAATTACACATCCACAGAGACGTCACGTAGAGGCGAGGTGGTTCTAACGATGGCGAACAGCCACCACGGCAGCGGAGAATGAGAGAACAGCCATCGCCCTGACAGGACCACGGCCACGATGGTGGTTCTCTCAGGGCTCCAGCACAGCAGAGACACTAATGGATGACTCAGCCGAGTCAGGAATCCTAGTCTCAAAGAAGACGGCCAATAGAACCCTGCACAGGGACGGACTGAGAAAGAAGACGAAGGCTACGACCCAAAGGACAGCGGCCCCACAGTGAAGCACGGTGGTGGCAGTATTATGCTGTGGGCATGCTTCACTGCGTCTGGACCTGGGAATTTCATCGAGTTAGGTGGATCCATGAAGAAAGAAGGATATGTGAATGAAGACCTGAAGCAGTCAGGCTAAACTAGGTCGGAGTCATCACTTTGTCTTCCAGCATGTCAACAACCCAACGCATATGTCGCTCCTGGTGAAGATCAAGGCGAGCGTGACAAAGCCCTGACTGTGGGCTGAGACTAAATGTAAGCACAAGAGCAGCCTGGGTGTAAACCTGGCTGGACTTGAGTTTGGCTCAAGTTTGTTACTTACATTAAATCAATTTAATAAATCAAATTTCAGTGTATTTTATTTGACATTCCAACCTACTGATACTTACAGAGTGAAGGGCAGCCAGGTTTTTACAGGAAACAAACTAAGGCTACATCCACCCGGGTATTTTTGAAAACGCAAATTTTTCTATGCGTTTGCACCTTTCGTCCACACGTAAACTGCATTTTCAGTCACGGAAAACTGAGATTTTTAAAAACTCCTGCCAGGGTGGAGATTTTCGAAAACCCAGTTTTTGCGTTTACATGTGGACGAGGAAGACGGAGAAAACGCAGCGTCAAAGGTGTGCGCCTACACACACAGTTACTGTCCTTCCACACACAGGACTCGGTTCTGCTTCTATGCGCCATCTTTGTTCACTCTTTGCCACCGAGGCTTCTAGACTTCTGATTGGCCAACATTTCTACACGGTTAGGAATATATCGCCACCTGTTGCTTTGGCATCTTCCTAGCGCGTTTTTGCGGTTACGTATGCACGGGATTTTAAAAAAAACTTGGCAGCGTGCTCGGTGCTTGATCAGATTTGAAGTTTAATTTTTCGCTGTAGAAAGAAGTTTTCTTCCCACGCAGCGTTTACAGCAGGCGCTAATGTTTCTGTCACTTTTTACAGAATCAGACTTAAAGTAATGTGATTACTTCCAAGCTTTAAATGCTGCATGGTCATACTCCCTCCAACACTCCATATTATCCATTGTTGATCTGCACACGTCTGTTGCTACCACGGACGTCGCACGCGCTCACGTCATTGTCATGAGACACTCTCACAAACAAAATCACGGTTTAGTAACGCAGCATATTTACGGGTAAGTAACAGTAATCTAAAACCGCACCCTGGCTGTGTTGTAGATCCTGAAGATTCGGCTGATCACGTCCTCCTCCAGGTCAGCGGACACGAACTCCACCTGCAGCGAGCCGAGGCGATGGAGACCGTTCTCTGGCCAGTACTGAGGGCACAGCTAACACACACATACACAAAGGGAAGTTATTGATCAACTCATGAGTTTTACACCGCCCTTACCAAAGCACCTGTGCTATGATGTCATCATCACCCACCTGTTCTAATATATCTGAAAATCTTTGAGTGTGTGTGTGGGTGGAGCTTCACCTGTGCGGGGTCGACATCATTCAGCATGACAATGGATGTGCAGTGGTAGTCGAGGACCAGGCGCCAGAAGTCCTTCACCGTGTTGGGCAAAGGATGCTGGGTAACGATGAACGCCGACGGCTGCTTGTAGCTCTGCATGACACGAGGTCAGTCAGACAGCAGGAAGTGATGTCACACAAGCAGACACAGCAGGGTGGATGTCACTGTTGTACACAGCCATGCTCAGGATTTCCGACGTCGGTGTTTTCAGCAGATTTCTGAACGCGTGCTTCCTTCTTTGAACCTGCGTTAACTTTGATATTTTAAACACTTTCCTGGAGTTTCTATAGCGACAGCTGTCTGGCTGCCTCAGGCAGGTCTGATGTGGGTGTAATGGACTCTGAGGCAGTGACGCTTGTGCTCCGAGCGCCCTAACACTCGGTGTTAAAGCCTCTGCTGCATCGACACCGAGCAGCACTTGCTAATGTTAGCTTAGAAGAGAAGTCCTCCACTCACTATCGCCACCAAATGACAGGCTCCAAGTATAACACAGAATCCAACACATCTCCACAACAGGGCAACAAGCTGACCTGAAGGACTTCACACAGAATTCATGAATGATCTGCGCTCAGCGAGAAGGCCGCTGCAGCAGGACAGCACGATGGCAGAGCGACTGAGTGTTCTCCGCTTCAGTCCTCTGTGCCGTTTGCTAAACAAAGAACCTGACGGCTGGGCTGGTCGCTCTCAGAGTTTCTGATTGGTTTACTTTTCAGCCTAATGTTCTCCTTCACCTGCACTCACATCTCTTTGGGCCAAACTGAGAGATCCAGTGAAAAGATATCGGATCAGCTCCCCATCTTTAATCTGCTTCACTTACTGTGGAACAAAAGCTTCGAATCAAAGCTGCGAGTCTGCAGTCACATTCATCAAACCCACTGTGTGTGTGTGTGTGTCACGTACATCCATGAGCGCAGCGTTGATGTAGTTGGAGCTCTCCCCGTCGATGGTGATGAGGAAGGGCAGGCAGCGGTCTGGAGGCAGCACGTCCATGCAGCGGTTCTTCTCATGGTTTCTGGGCAGCAGAGCGATGCTGCAGTCCTCCACTCGCAGAGTCGGCGTCACCATGTTCAGCGTCTGTGCGCGCACACACATGTAACAGGACACACACCTGACACCTTCTTTCTAACCTAATGAGTTGATCTCATGTCATATTTTTACTTTCTCAGACTTCGGAACATTATTATTTTCATTGATTTTGTTTAATTTTTGTTAACATTAATTTTGTTATTTGTGATCATTTAATTAGTGATTTAATTTTTGTCTTCATTTTTTTAAATGTCTTCAAGTTTTAATCTCGTTGTTTGTTTTTGTTTGATTTTTAAGTTTTATTCATACAGCGTAAGTGTGTTGTGTCACCAGTTTGTTACCAGTTTGTTACTGGGTGTCTGTGGCACTTTTATTTTAACCGTGTCGTTTATTGTTGTGTATTTTTACTCGCTGTCATGCTGCTGTAACACAAAAGCGTCCCATGTGGGATCAATAACGTATCCATTTAAAGTAAAGACGCTACAGCGACAGAGAGAGAACAATCATATGACCCCCTGTGAGCAGCACTTTGGCGACAGTGGGAAGGAAAAACTCCTTTTAACAGGAAGAAACCTCAGACAGAACCGGGCTCAATATTTAGACTGTATAATATGAATTTCTGACTTTTATTTTGAAACTGCGGTGCAATGATGTCATCACTCAGAGCTGTGATGTGGTTTGATTATTTCATGGACGCTGGCAGGTTCGTGCTCTAAACGAAGCGTGAAGAATATTAACATGGTCGTCACGTTACCCTGAACTCCTCTTTGATCTGACTCGAGTTGGTCTGAGGATCCAATCGGTTCATCTCATAATAAACCGACCGCAGCTGACTGGCTGGAATCGCTGTGTCACCGCACAGACACGCCTCCAAGATGGCATCGTGGATGAAGACGTACTGCTCCTGGTAGACAGAGGAAGGTGGTCAGACACTGTTTAAATAAGCTCCTCCTCCTCCTCCCCAGCTCTGACTGACGGGACGTCGGCTGCTGAAATGTCACTTCATAAAAGATTAATGTCAGCGCACGGCGGCTGGAGAACAGGCGAGTGACATTCAAAGTTAGAGAAGGTCATCGCGGCGTTCATTTCTGTCATTTCCTGTCAGTCAGCGATGAAGATGTGAGGACAAGTCGGAGACAATGAGGAATGATCGATGAAACTTTGATCATGAATGAAGCTGAGTAACTGAGCACGTGCAGGTTGAAACATTAAGTTATTAGTGATCACGTCAGAACACCTGCACACAGGTAGAAGGTATTTCACTGTGTGAATGTGTGTGTGTGTGTGTGTGTGTGTGTGTGTGTGTGTGTG